GGGCCTCAAAGTCCTGCCATTGGACTGGTCGCACCCTCTGGACTAGTCTAGTGTTCACTGGGCACCTTCCACACCCCTGCACTGGACTAGGCACCATGGAGGGGGGGAAAGGGATGGCAATTACAGAAGTTCTCTAGATTAGCGTTCTCTGTCCTCAGTGTGGAAGAAAAATATTGTTCTTTTAGTAAGAGTCCTGGCTTTGAATTTCTGCTCTGATCCTTCCTGCCTTAGGTAAGTAACTTCTTCTTTGACTTTCAGTGACTTCTCTTACAAAATTATGAAGATGGATGCCCTTCCAATTCTAAGTCCTAAGGTGGGAATTCAGACCTACCACTTACCATCTGTTCCATGAGAGGAGTGTAGTAGGGGAAGATTTTTGGTACCTCTGAGCCTCAGTTGCCTCATCTGAAAGATGGGTGAAGTAAGACTTGCCTCCCAGGGCTATCATGAGGAAAATGTCGTATAACTTTCAGTATGCTATTAAATTATGAATTATTTTAAAAAGTAATGACAAAATGGAGCAAGTCTTCATGACTCTAAGTTGCAAAGCAAGGACCAATCTGTATCGGTAGAAGAAGTTCCCCTTATCAGAGAAATCACAGGCTGGATCAAAAAACAAAGTAGGGGGTAAAAATACTTGACCCAACTACTCTTGACAGTACCTTGAAAATCAAATGGGGCAACATAGATGGATGTATATGAACACTAGTGACAGTATCTCAAAGCGTGGAATGGACTGCTATGAGAAGTAGGAAGTTTCCCATCCCTGGAGGTTTTCTAAGGGAGATACTGTGACCATGCATCAGAAATGTCACAGTTGGAATTACTTATTCCAGTGTTTTTCAAGTCATGCTACATGGGCTCTAAGGTTTCTTCCACCTTTGAGATTCTGTAACTTGGTATGACATACCTCACAGAATTACAGACTCGAAGTCAGGAAGACCTGGGTTCAAATCCAACCTCTGATATTGACTAGTTCTGTGACCCTGGGTAAGTCAAGATCTCTGAGCCTTCATGTGTAAAATAGGGACTGAGCTCTTGATTTGCCTGATGTGAATTAAAAAAAAACTCCATCTAGCAAGGTAACCTCCCTGATACTTATGAAATTGCTTAGCTCTCTGGAATGGGAATGACTTGCCCAGGGTCATACAGACAAGACTTGAACCCAGGTCTCCCAGGGTGATTTGCTATGTAATAAGCCACATCAAAAAGCACTATCTCAATGATATAAAATGGGGAGTGCCAGGCCTAGAGTCAGAAAGACCTGAGTTCAAATCCAGCCTCAGACACTTACTAGTTATGTTACCATAGGCAAGTCACCTAACCCTGTTTGCCTCAATTTTCTCATCTGTAAAATGAGCTGGAAAAGGAACTGGCAAACCATTCCAATATCTTTGCCAAGAAAACCCCAAATAGGGTCACAAAGAGTCAGACATGACTGAAACAACTCAACAACAACAACAACAGGGTGTGGTCAGGCTCAAACGAGACAACGTATTGTATGCAAAGTGCTTTGTAAACCTTGAAGGTCTCTGGGAACATCAAATTTTAATAGGGATTCTATCTCTCATGGAGCTCACCATCTATAGTTAAGGCCCCAACATTACTAACAGGTGATGCCTTGGAAATAAGAAAGACCAACGCTAAATAATTTAGAGTAGGAAGAAGTCAGAGAAGGACACGGTCAACAGGAACCACACAGTCAGAGGAGACTTCCAGGAGGAGTTGCGGCTGAAGCTGGGCCTTAAAGGATGAGAGTTATGCCAAAATAAAGTCAAAATAGGTAAATGATTTAGACATAAAGAGTGATAGCATAAGTAAATTAGAAAAGCATTAAAATTTATATATCAGATCTATGGAGATAGAGATGATTACAAGAAGCAAAATAATTTTGGTTACATGAAATTAAAAACATTTTGCACAAACAAAACCAATGCAGCCAAAATTAGAAGGAAAGCAGGAAACTGGGTGTGGGGGCAGGATTTAACAAGCTTCTCTGATAAGGGCTTCATTTTTCAAATATTTAAGGAACTGAGTAAATTTATAAAAAATAAGCCATTCCTCAATTGATAAATGGTCAAAGGATATGAACAGATAAAAATTTTCAGAAGAAGGAATCAAAACTATTAACAGTCACATGAAAAAATGCTTTAAATCACTACTGACTAAAGAAATGCAAATTGAAACAAGTATGAGGTATAGCTTCATACCTATCAGATTGGATAACAAGGCGGAAAAGTAAAACGACAAATGTTAGAGGGAATATGGGAAAAAAAAAACCAGATACACTGATGTACTGCTGGTAGAGTGATAAACTGGTCCATTCTAGAGAACAATTTGGAACTATGCCCAAAGGGCTATAAAAAATACATAACCTTTGACCCAATAATATCTCTACTAGATCTGTATCCCAAAGAGATCAAAGAAAAGGGAAAAGGACTCATTTGTACAAAAATATTTATAGCAGTTCTTTTATGCAGTGGCATAGAATTGGAAATTAGGAGGGTGTCCATCGATTTGAAAATTGCTGAACAAGTTGTGGTGCATGATTGTGATGGGATACTATTGTGCTATGAGAAATTATTGGTGGGGGGGGGTAGATAAACCTGGGAAGAGTTCTACGAACTGATGCAAAGTGAAGTGAGCAGAATGAGAGCATTGTACACAATAACAGTAATGTGAATGACTCAGCTATTCTGATCAATACAACTATCTAAGACAATTTCAAAGGAGCTGTGATGAAAAATGCTCTTCACCTCCAGAGAGAGAACTGATGGACTCTTAGTGCAGATTGAAGCATACTTTTTTCACTTTATTTTTCTTTCTTTTTTGTTTGTTTGCAACATGGCTAATTTGGAAATATGTTTTGCATGACTTCACACAAATAATTGCTTGGCTTCTCAATGGGAAGGTTAGGGTTAGGATTAGGGGAAGGGTTGGAGAAAGGGAGAGAATTTGGAACTCAAGTTTTGTTTTCTTTTAATGTGTGGTATAAGTGAATAAATGAATACATAAATAGATTAACAACTGAAGAGATAAATAAAAAAGATAAGGGTATTTAGATGGATAACGGAGAGATTCTAGGGAAGGGGAACAGCTCAGACAAAGACATGGAGGCAGGAAACACAAAGGTTGACACAGTGGTACAATGAAAGGGGAGAGGAAGTAGATTGGTCAGTCTCAGCATTGGGAACCTGTAAGGGAGCAACTGATAGATATGGCTATAGATATAGACATTGATATACACATATGTATACTTATAAGCTTGTATGTATATGTGTATGTATGTATATGTGCCTGTATGTGTATGTGTGTATGCATATAGTTTTACACACACACATAGTACTAGAGAATAAACCTCAAAGCTGAGGAAACAGGTTCAAGAGTTGCTTGTGACACATCTTGACTGTGTAATCTTGGGTAAGTCATTTAACTTTTCAGTGATCTAAGCAGGTCTCTAAGGCTTAGCTGTAGAGAGGGTGCTAACATGCATTGATAAAAGGAGGTTCTTCTCTCAGGAGTTCCCTAAACCAGTTAAATCACAGGGCCACTCCCTAAAACCTATGTGCTAAGTACAGCAGTAGTTGCTGTAGATATACGTATATTAATCAAATAATTCCTACTCATGAGGAGTTGGCATTCTAATGGATAGAGAAAAGATTTTAGATAATGAAGACAAGCCCTACCAAATTGGGGGGGGATAAGTAAACAAATAGTGAGTGGGGGAGAGGGCTCATTCATTCAACAAGTATTTATTATGCATGTACTAGGCACTATGCTAGGGGCTGGGGATAAAAAGACATAAATGAAACAGTCCCTTCCCTCAAAGAGATGATACTATGTTCAAGGTCTAAAACAGTGAGGAAAACATAAGAAGATAAATTTGAGAAGGAAGAAAACACTGTGTCCTAGGAGGATGGAGAATGGCTTGTCATAAGAGGTGACATCTATGTTGAGCCTTGAAGGAAAGCAGGGATTCCAAGAGATTGAGATAAGGAGGGAGTGCTTGCCAAATTCTGGAAAAGAGCCCTTGAAAATATATGGAGGTGAGAATGGCAAACAGGTGGGTTTGATTTGACTAGAGAGTGCATGAAAGGGAGTAATAACAATAATTATAACTAACATTTTCATAGCACTTTAAAGTTTGCAAAGTGACTTAACAAATACTATTAAAACTTGAGAATTGCACTGACTTTTGGGATATCCTTTATTATTTTATTTGATCCTCACAACAGCCCTGAGTTGTTGTTCAGTTGTTTTTCAGTCACTTCTGACTCTCTGTGACCCCATTTGGGTTTTTTTTTTTTGGCAGAGATACTAGAGTAGTTTGTCTTTCCCTTATCCAGATCATTTTGCAGATGAAGAAACTGAGGCAAACAGGGTTAAGTGACTTTCCCAGGGTCACACAGCTAGTGTCTGAGGCCAGATTTGAACTTGGGTTATCCTGATTCCCAGCCCAGTGCTCTATCCACTGATCCACCTAAGCAATGAGAAATATCTGAAAAGGGAGGCTGGAGCCTGACTTACTCAATTTTCAATCTATGCTGAGAAGTTTTTAATTCATCCTAGTGGTTATAAGGAACCCCTAAAGATTCTTGAGCATGTTATGATCAAGCCTGTGCTTCAGAAAGCATTTGGCAACTGTATGAAGAATGGATCAGAGGGGAGAAGTCAGAAACAAGAAGGGAGAGCTAAAGGGCTCTTCAATAGACCAAGTGAGAGGTAAGGATGAACTGAACTAGGGCCATTGTATGGCTGGCAAGAAGGGGACAGATGTGGCTTCTATGTGTGGGTCCAAAATTAAGGCTGAATTTAGAAGTATGTCTAGAAAGGATCCACCCTACCCTTAGCTTCACTAGTTGTATGATACTAATACTCAGTGGATTTTCGTGTTGGAATGTTTCCCTTGGTTTCAATAAGTAAAATCCGAAATCCACACTATATTCGCACATAGCAGTAATATTCTCTAGCCAACATGCCCTATTTCCTGGGCTACTTACCTTTTGCTTTCATGACTTCCTTGTTGATGACTAAAATATATTCTGCGATGCCTCCCATGGCCCCAGAGGTGATGTAGTGGGTGCCATAGTCATCGATAAACTTGGCATATGTGCCGTAATCATACTGGTCAGGGAGCTCAGTGATTGCTTGAAGTATGTCCTCATCCAGGACGATTTCATCTCTCCTCATCTTGAAGTGAGCAGTCTGGGTTTTTGTGTAGACTCGGATGAAGCCATATTCCTACAAACAAACAGATAACTCAGTGATGGTGGAGGGTTGGACAGAAGGAAGAAGGAGAAGAGAGATAAATAAGGATAGAATGCATGTTACCATATTACCTGTTGACTAAATGAACATTGGCTGTACACCTACTGTGTCCATCAAACTATTCCAGGTGCTAGTGGGGTGGGGAGAGAAAAAACACAAGGAATGGAAAGGCAGTGTGGTATAACGAAAAGATCCTTGGCTCTGGAGCCAGAGGAGTGTGTTCAAATCCTGTGTCACCTTCGGCAAGTCATTTAACCTCCATGAGACTCAGTTTCCTCATCTGTAAATAGAGGGAGTAGGAGTAGATGATGTCTGAGGTTCCTTCCAGCTCTAAGGTAATATGACTTTATAAATATAACAGGTCTTTAAACTCCCACTTCACTGCTCCACACAATGGTATCTTGGGGTGGCAAATAGCATAGTTGTTGAGGCAGTTAGGTGGCACAAAGGATAGAGCACTGGATTTGGAATGAGGAAGACCTGAGTTCAAATCCTGCCTCAGACATTCATTAGCTGTGTGAGCCCGAACAAATCACTTAACCTTCTGGGCCTAGTTTTCCTTATCTGTAAAATGGACATAATAATAGTACCTACCTCTCAGGTTCTTTTGAGAATAAAAAGAAATAATATTAGAGAATAAAAGGAGATAATAATATCTGTAAACCTTAAAGTGCTATATAAATGTGAGCTAAGAGGTAGAGAACCTGGGATTAAGTGTTAGCTCTTCTGTTTATGAATTTCTAATTCTTTCCTTTCACCCCAAGTGACTTTATGTTTATTTCATCTATGTTGTGTATTAAATTGTCTCTTTCTAACCCTCATTTCATTTCAAGCCCTCATCACCTCACTCCTGGACCGTTGTAATCGCCTCCTAATTGGTCTCCCTGTCTGAAGTCTCTCCCCTGTCCAGGTCGTTCTCCCCTCCACTGCCAAGGTGATTTTCCTAAAGTGCAGCTCTGATCATGCCATTCTCCTGCTCAGGGAACTCCAGTGGCTCTTTATCACCTCCAAGTTTAAATATGAACTCCTCTATTGGGCATCTAGATCCCTTTAGAACCTGGCTCCTTTCTACATTTCCAGGCTCATCAGAAGGTAGTTCCCTCCGTATGCTCTCCATGGTACCAGAGTGAACGTCTTTCTGTTCCTCATACAGTGCAGTCTATCTTCCACCTCCTTGCTTTCTCACTGGCTGTCACCACACTTGGGGAATGCACTCCCTCCTCAGCATTCCAAGTTTTCTTCAAAGCTCAGCCCAATTTTAAGCCCTTTCATATGAGATCTCTCCTGATTCCCTCCAGCTACTAGTGTCAACCCCCCAAAATTTCTTTGTAGAGACTTCATATATACCCCCACATATACAGATTTTGCCCCTTGGTGAGATTGTAAGCTTTCTGAGGGCAGGGACTATTTCACCTTTGTCTTAATTCCCAAGTACCCAGCACAGCACCTGGTGCATAGGAGGTTCTTAATAAGTATTTAGGTGATGATTGGTCAATGGGCTGTGATGCAATAAAAAAAGAGTACTGCTTCTGGAGTCAAAGGATGGAGGTTCAAATCCCACCTCAAATGATTAGTAACTGGCTGGCCATGGACAAGTGACTCAACCTGCCTAGGCCTCAGTCTCCTCATCTATGAAATGGGTGATTCCCTTCAAGCTCTACATCTCTGATGCTATGACCAACTGAGCTAAGCACAGGAAGGCTCATCACCAGGTTAACTACTAGGGTGATGAATATTTTTGCCACAAGACTCTTGAAGTCCATCTAAAGGTTTCTGTGGATTTTCTTGTTTGGATCAGTGAAGGGGATGCTCTGGCCAACAAAAATTAGATATCCTTGAAGTTTTTACACATTCGTAAGTGCTCTGAGATCCCCACTTTCTACCTTCCCTCCCAAAGCACCCTAGAATGGTTGCCAAGTGGCTTGAACCCCACACATAGCTCACCCTCCAAGATACTTCTTCTTCCTCATCCCCTGCTTTTCAATGTTAACCAGAAAGCCATATCTGCCATGTAAAGTTTCCAGATCTAGCCTGATAAGAAGTTTGACTTCCATCATTTTTCCAATGATTCTTCAAAATGAACCTCCCATTCAAATAAGTCCAACCCAGACATTCTCTCATCTTACTATCTTCTTCATTAATTTTAATGCAATTAAGCATGAGGGAGTTGGACTGGAAGTTTCCTAAGGTCCCTTCTGGCTCCGATAATCTAGAGGACTCTCGAGGGTGCTGATTCTTCTTAGTTCACATCACTAAGAGTCAACATGGGTGCTTCAACAACAGAAGACCCTCATTTCTAATTTGACCCCATCCCTATACATTTTTTAACCAAACCTATGATTTCTTAGTATGGGGAACTTCCAGTCTAGAAATTTCTGCTGCCAATAAAGATTGGCAATTGGCACCTGCTTTGCAACTTTGTGTCTTTGAGGCAAAGAGAAGTTCTAAGACTTGTCCAGAGTTGCACAGCCAGTTAGTGTGGGGGCTATAACTTTAACATTAACCTTCCTGACTAGGAAAGCAGCTCTTTCTCCATTTTACCAAACTGTAGGTATGTATGTATACATGTATCTGTCCATATATGTACATATTTATATATATATAAACACATGCATATGTTATACATTAATTTAAGAAATATAACTGACATTTTTGAGTGCTTAATGTTTATAAATTATTTATGCATAAATGATCTTGTTTAGTCCTACACAAGGAATGGTGAGGAAGCTGGAGATGACTTGGAGGAAGTAGGGATGTTTAGGCTTGAAAAAAGAAGACTTGGACACAATATTACAGCTATCTTCAAGGACCTAAGAGTTATTTCATTGAAAAGGGGTCATATTTATTCTGCTTTGCCATCAAAGGTCAAAACCATGTCTGGAAAGTAGAGAAAAGCAGATATAGGCTTGGTATCAGGGTGGGGAGGGGAGTGGAGGGATGTTTCAACAATGAAAGTTGTTGTCCAAAAGTGGAATGGGCTGACTTTTTAGGGAATGAGCTCCCCATCACTAGAGGTCTTCAGGAACAGACTATATGACCACATGTCGGGGATGTTACAGAGAGGAATTCTTGCTTAGGAATGATTAGATTAGGGACAATCTGAGTTGCCTGCTGATTGAGACTCCATTGCCCTGTTAAAACTTTCAATGGTAGATCTAAAAGGTATGTTAGAACATAGAACAGTGGAGTTTGAAGGAATCTTAGAGGGATTCTGGTCCAACCACCTAACTTTACAAATGAGGAAACAGAGACTCAGAAAGGCTAAATGACTTGTCCAAGGCTCTCCCAGCTAGTTTGCATGGGACCATGGGACATTATTGGCTAGCATGATGCTAGATTTGCTATCAAGAAGAACTGGGTTCAGATCCTGCATCTGATATTGGCTAGTTGCATGACCAAAACCAAGTTACTTAACTTTTCTAAGTCTCAGTTTCCTCATCAGTAAAACGGGGGTAATAATACTTGCAGCATCTACCCCATAGGATTGTTTTGAGGCTCAAATGAGATAATTACAAAAAGCAGTTCACAAACTTAATCTCAGGTATTTGCCCTAGAACCTAGAACCCCCGACTTCTTACCAATCCATGCCTGAGGAGAAGAGCAAATAAAAAGAGGACAAAATAGAAGCGAATTGATAAACAAATGGAGGGGAAACCAAGGTGAGTTTTTCCTTATAGTAAAAATGATATTTACATGTCATCTCCCCTAATAGCATGGAAGCTTCTTGAGGGCAAGGATAATTTCATTTTGCTTTTGAATCCCCAGCCTCCAGCATAGTGATTGGCAAAGTAGGCATTTAATAAATGCTTAGGTTGGTGTTTCTGCTATATTCTAGGCACTATGCTCAGTGCAAGGGATACAGTAGTTAAAATGAAACAATCTCTGCCTTCCCGATACACAGAGAAAGAGTCTAAGTCAATACGTATTCTAACACAGGATAATAGGGTTTAGATTGCAGAGGGACTAGGGATCATCTGGTCCCCTCTCTTCATTTCTGTCTCCAGAGAAGGGAGGTGATTTTTATGTGATCACACAGGGATGAAGGCTCAGAGCTAGGACTCAAACCCAGGTCTCTTGACTCTTGGCCCAGCATTCCTTCCAATGGCTGCCTTATCATTCCAAGCATTCATTAATCAGCTTCCTTCTGCAGTGAAGTAGGAAGGGATTGAGGACTGGGGTGGGGGAAGATGGCATGAGTTCTTCGTCCTGCAACTCAATTATTCCCATCATGATGATTTTGAGTACAGAAGTGTAATAAGAAAAACAAACAGGATTACGGCTGATCAGACATTTCCAATTACATGAGCAAATTAAGGGACAATTACTACTGTAGTTTTTTTTTTTAATGCAATTAAGGTAATACGTGAATGCAAGTCCCAAAAGAAGGCTGGTGGTGAAAAGGCAATGATCTGAAGGTCCGAATACCTACCTTCCCTGTATACTCAGTCACATTCTTCAGGGAACCCTTTCCAGATGCCCAGGAGAATCCCAAGCCCACGATTACAGAGTAGATGGGGATTCCAATGGAGATGCTGGAAGAACTGAATTTTTCCTTATGTAGGCCTGTGGTTAGCTCTTCAACATGACTATAAAAATGTGAGTGGAAATCATATTGGGCCTGGGTCTGAAAGGAAAAGGGAGACAGACACTTAGTGCCAGTCAACACTCAGGGCTCCCTACTTAATGGTGTTCCATTCAATTCAGTTCAACACATGTGTTAAGCACTTGTGATGTACCAGGCACTGAACTAGGCTCTAAGGATACAGAGACAAAGATGAAACGATTCCTGCCCTCCGGTGGCTTCTACCAGGGGAAACATTTACCCAGATAAGTATGAGAGGCAGCATAGCATAACATAACAGCACCATATTTGGAGTCGAGGAGACCAAATTCAAATCCCAACTCAGAAATTTGCTAGCTGTGTGACCATGGGCTAACCACTCTTCCTCTGGGCCTCAGTTTCCTCGGGTGTAAAATGAAGGGATTAGACTAAATGTCTTCTATGGTCCCTTCCCATCTAAATCTATGATTCTGTGATCCCAAGTAAACGCAGAATAATTTGGTGGAGGACACTAACACCTAGAAGTATCAGCAAAAACAGCTTATAGGGGTTCTAGAGGCAGAGTTGAGGAAGGAGAGAGCACTCTAGGCATGGGGCACAGCATGTACATGAGCATAGAGGTGGGAGATGGGATGTCCTGAACAGCAAACAGCATTATTCAGGTCAGTTTGTCTGGAATTAGAGAGCCTGAAGGGATGGAATATGTAATCAGCCAGGCTTCATTTTACTCCCTCCTCCTCCCAGCCCCCTTCTCAGCACCAGCCTCATTCTCCTCCCAACATTTGTTTTTCTGGCTCTGGAACCATGATCAAAGCAACTCTGCCCCTTGTTCCGGGGAAGTGTGTAACTCAAATCCCTATGACCCCACTTATGCCTGTAAATTTCCAAACTAAAGCCCCTTTCCCTGGCCACCATTCTCCACTTCCTGTGGCTTCCCTCTCTTAGAAAGATAAAGGAGATCAAGGACTGGTTTTTTCCTTTTATTTTTTCATCTCCAGTGCCTATCACAATGACTGACCTAGAGTAAAAATTTAATCATCGGTCTTTTGTTCAAAGACCTTCAGTATTGGGGAACTGGTGACCTCCTGAAGCCGATTCATACCTACCAATATACATGTATCTTCTATATACCTAAATATGTGCATGTCGCCTCCCCTAATAGAATGCAAGCTTCCTAAGGCAAGGTCTATTTCACTTCTGTATTTGTATTCCTAGCACCTAGCCCAGTGCCTGGCAGAAAGAAGAAGGTGCTTAATTCATGCTTGTTGGTAGGTTAGGCAGTACATTCAACTTTGATATGGTTTTAATGGTAAGGATGTTTTCTTTCCTAATGTCAAATCTAAGTTTGTTTCTTTGCAATTCTCACTCCTAAGTGCCAGCTATAGTAACAATATCATCATCATCATCATCATCATCATCATCATCATCAACATCTTCATCATTATTCGCACCAAACTTGCCTTACCTCAAATTGGTACTTGATAAAGTTGTACGGTCTACGGAAATACTTCTCATCATAATCGAGATTCTCACAGACGGCATCATATCTGAGAGACTTCCAGTCTCCATTGTAGACACGCTCACACCAGCCCCCAAAGAATGTAGGGTCATACACATTCATCTTTTCTTCTTGGGTCAGAATGTTAAACCTATAAAGAAAAGGCATCTTCCAGTATGTCAACTCAAATGGTCTAATGCTTCATATTATCTTCCCAAACAAAATATCAGTATCCCAGTCAAAGGTGCAATCTCATGGATTCTGTGAACCTGGAAGGACCCTAGAGCCTAAATTGTTCAAGCTAGAATGGAACTTAGAACATAGAGTGACGAGGCTGACACTGACATGCATCTAACATGCAAAGTGTTTTCCATGTATTTTCTCATTTGATCCTCACAACTATCCTGTGAACAGAAACATTACAACTGTTTTAGAGATGAAGAAATGGAAGGTCAGCAAGTAGGAAGCTAACTAGGTGGTATGTGGATAGAGTTCCCAGATTCCAAGTCAAGAAGGGCCGAGTTCAAATTTCCTTTAGATTTACTAACTGCATGGCCCTGCACAATTCACTTCATCTATCTCAGCCTCAGTTTCTTCCTTTGTAAAATAGGAATAATAATAGCATCTATCTGACAGGGTTGTTGTGAAGTTCAAAGATAGGATGTTTTAAGTGCTTTGCATACCTTAAAGTGCTATGTAAATTTCCGCTATAATTATATTTACCATGTGTGTAAAGTTTGTCCCGAGGCTAAATGTGCTACCTAAATGTTAGCTGTTTTTGTTGTTAACTGACGTACTGAGAGTCACACACACACACACACACACACACACACACACACACACACACACAC